CGTGGATAACCCATGCGCATCAGGATTGAAGCAGTCATCAACAACGTAAGAGGAGCGGTCGGCAATGCGAATCCAGCCTTATCGCTTTTTGATTGGATGCTTGCTGTACATAACGACATGTACTCGACGGGATATTGCGTACGTGGTAACACAGCTATCACGATTTTTGGAGAATCGGGGAGTACAACATTGGAGCGCAGCAATTCGAGTGATAAGGTACTTAAAGACTACGAACCAAATCGGGATCGTCTACCGAGGAAGTGGGAGCGTTGAGGATAAGGCATGCTCGGATGCAGATTAAGGCAGCAACATCGATGACGACGTTCGGTTTTGGGAGTCATGGTCAAAATTGCAAGCGCACCAGTGGCATTCAAGTCAGATTATCAGCGGACGGTTGCGCTAAGTCTAGCGGAAGCTGAGTTTATGGCTCTCAGCCTTTGCACGCAGGAAATTCTTTGGAAGCGGGCAATGCTCAGAGACATGGGACACGAGCAAGTTGAAGGAACACAAGTTTGGGAAGACAACCAAGGTGCGATCGCGTTAGCCAATAATGCTGGATATCACGCTAGGACGAAGCATGTGGAGATCAAGCATCACTTTATTCGCGAGAACGTGCCAGGAGGACTGTTGAAGATCGACTATATTGACACGAAGAGTCAGCTTGCGGATATGCTGACGAAGGCACTTAAAACTAAGGTGCTAAAGTATCTACGCGAAGCCTCCGGAATCAAGGTCAAATCAGCGACAAAGCACACGCAGTATTAGTGGTGAGTGGGAGTGTTGAGATTACACCGCTGGATGCATGTTGAACAGACAGATGACGTCACAATATTTACGAGCACGTCACAGAAAGTAATTACATAATGGTTGGCGTTCATTGGTCTAGATGAATCAGGATGCTTATAGAGGCTTCTAGACGGATCTAGAACGCTGCCGTAGCTTAGCGCTCGAGGAAGCGTAATTTAGGTCACCGAGCTTTCGTTCTTTACAAGAACCAATACGTGTGTAGCGGATCGCAATCCGCTAACTCCAAGAGTACCTACTTCCTTAACAAAGGCAAATAAGCTCTTCGGTTTTAATTCAAAAACTGATTTTTATTTTTATCTGCGGCTAAACAGCCTAATTTTAAATGTATAGATTTTATCCATCTATATATATGTATAGTCAAATCCAAATACATGCGTAACTACTGGCTACCTAGCCACATACCG